TGTGTGTGTGTATAGAGGCAAGAGGTTGACATCAGGTGTCCTTCTCAGTTGTCTCCACCTTACTTTTTGAGGCAATGTCTCTTACTGAACCCAGAGCCCACTGATTTTGCTAGACTAGCTGGCCAGCGAGCCCTGGGGATGTTCTTGACTCTGTTGAGGTTACAGATGCACATCACCACACCAGCTTTTCACATGGGTCCTAGGACTGAACACAGGTATCAATGCTTGCACAGAAAAGATTCTACCCACTGATCACTTTCGCCGAGTCTGAATTTCAATCTCTCTCTCTCTCTCTCTCTCTCTCTCTCTCTCTCTCTCTCTCTCTCTCTCTGTATGTATGTATATATGTATATATAAATTGTCTAATTCTGTATTGTCAAAATTTTCAAAAGTTTTAAGTCAAGAAAAGTAACAAAGCTCATTTTCATTAATCTTAAATGTATGAAGTACAGTATGAATACCAAGTACAGTGACTGTGGAGATTCAATATTTAGACTTTATATGCCAGCAAAGTGTTGTCTAGTGGGAATGCACATCCATGCAAAGATGCTTCTGTTGTACTGAGCATTTCTAGAAATTTCTTTTGGATAATTCTCCAGGGTCTAAAGAACCTTTCATTCTGGTCTCGGAAGCTGTTTGGTTGGTAACCAATTGCAACTTTGGTGACTTCTTTGGTGGCACATAAGATGGGAAATGATTTTAAATCCCTTCCATGAGAAACACTTGAATTAGATTGAAGGAATCTGGGTCACTTCATTAGGGTTACAAAGGAAGTGTGACTACAGAGTATGGGTTTATGTCACAGCCAAGTAGGATAGTCTGTCTGTTGTCAAGCTGACCAGCTAGAACACCTACCTTAATTCTCTCCACCCTTCTTTAACTTGGTCTGAACTGTTTCCTGAGAGCGCTTCTTTTATTGGGGGTGGGACTGGTATTTGTCTCAACAATTTTAGTAATAAAATAAAGTGAAATAAAATATCCAGCATTAGTCCCTTATAAAGAGACAACTATGAAGAAATAATGTTCATTAGAATGTGGGTGAACCAATAGTGTTTATTTTTCCTTGTTTTTTTTTTTTTGAACAGGGTCTCATGTAGTCCTGTGTAGTGTTGGAATTACAAGTATGTACCACCATGGTTAATTTTTTAATATGTGTAAAATGAGATTTATTAATTAATTTATTTATTCTTTTACTTATTGAGACATAATCTTCCTAAGATACCCTGGCTGGCCTGGAATTTAGTATGTAGACAAGCGAGATTCAAACACAAGGAAATTCTGCTTTCTTTATTTCCAAGTGCTATATTAAAGCCTTGTGTCACCATATCTGGGCTATTTTTTTCTTTCTTACTTCTTTGGGGTACATGCAAATGCATCTGTGAGCATGTGTTCATACAGATATGTATGCACATGTGTGGAGGCCCATACAAACCAGGGGTCAACCTCTAGCCTTGTTCCTCAGGAACCATCCATTGTGTTTTGAGACAGGGTGTCTCACTCCTTGAGCCCCCTGGTGAGGTTAGGCTGGTTGGCCAGTAAGCTCTTGGATCATCCTATGTTTCTAGTTAGACTGGTTGGCCAGCAAGCTCTGGGATCATCCAATCTCTCTAGTGCTGGGATTACACACCAGCACACTTGGCTTTTTAATGTATGTTCTGAGGATCCAACTCAGGTCTTCATGCTTGTGGGCACAGACTGAACTATCTTCCAAGGCCCTGAGTTTTATTTTATTTTATTATTGTTTCACTTTCTTATTATCTCATCAGATATTAACCCTGAGATTATTACTGTTCTACTCTGAGAAAAATTTGTTGCACTTTTTGTGGTGTGGGGTGATGGGACTGTGCTTGTCTGTCTCTGTGGCTGCTGGGTAAGTCATGGACAAGAAAACGGAAAATATAAATTGATACCCCAAGGTAGAAAGCTTTGAAAGGGCATGCTACAGGGTTAGGCACTGTTCAATAGAAAAGATAGTGACTGGAAGCTCTGGAGTAGAGGACAATTATTTTGCGTGAGCTTTAGGACGGGCCCTGATGTGCCAGACTAAAATTTCTTGACAGCAACATTTGTACATACCTTACACTCACTTTACATGGATAAGCAAAAGGACAAGTTACTAGTTAGAAGAACTGGCCAGGGTCAAGGACGTGGGCAGAAAGATCAGCATCGAATGAAAAAAAAAATCAGGAGTGATTTACAAGGACATGCTCAAATGGATCCGGTGACTGAATGTCAGAGCCATGGAAGACGGGGAGAAGGGGAAGACTCTGAGGCAGCTGGCTTGGATGACAGCTTGGGTGGGGGGATGGGCAGGGAGGCTGTCATCAACAGAAATAGAAAACACAGGCTAGGAGAACGATTTTGAAAATTGGGGGGGAACAATGCATCTGATTTTAGATCAGTGAGTCTGCACCGAGGTGGGGATGTCTGGCTGGTGAGGGAAAGCACAGGCGAGGTCAAGATCAAAGACAAAGCCTTGTTTATGGAGTCGTATCAATCAAGTCGATAACTGAACTCTTGAAGTGGATGAAATCATCCTCGGAGAATGTGTTGATCAGGAACGATTGGCCAGGTAGGGGACTTGGGAAAATACTCTCATTTATAGACCGGATCTGGAACAAGGAATTGGAAAAGACTGCATAGAAATACCATGACAAACCTGTGTCGTGAAGGTTGCAAGAGGACTCTAAAGGCTGTGTCGCCACCTCATACCCAAGAGAAGGGACCGTGCGTGAGCTGAGGTCTGAGAGGAGCTGGCACATTCATGCATTAGCAGCTTGGGGACAACCGCTGTGAAAGCTGCAGTAGCAAGGGAAGCCCAGAGTTGGACCAGGGAGGGGCTCAAAGAAAGACTGGGACAGAAATGGTGGCTCTATCCCGATCCATCTTCAACTGTTGCTTCTTTTTCTCTTCAGAAGTGTGTTCTCTGCTGTTCCATTAATGCTAAAGTCACCCAGGACTGTCCTTGGCTGGAAGCTCACAGCAGTGAAGGCTCTCTGGGTTTCAAATAACAGAAAGCAACTCCAGCTGGCTTGAGCAGAAAGATTTATTGGAAAGATGCAGTTGCCTCACAGGACCCAAAGAGTCTTCCATACGAGCTCTAACCAGAAACCAAGCACCGCAGGGCTACGTCTCCCTTACTGACCCCCCCTCCCCCCTGTCTATTTTTAAGCCCCTCTCTGCTCACTGCAAACCAGCTGCTTGGATTTTCCAAGACATGTGACTGAAAACATTTCTGCTGTCCACCTTGAGACATATCTCTTGCCCAGCCACTCAGGGGGGCACCTGAATTACACTCTCAGTCTCTATGTCCTCCAAGAGCCGAGACTGAGTTTGTCAGCTTGAACAGGTACCTACCTTTGGTCACCCAGCTGGGATCAGACCTGCAAGGTCACACTGCACAGGAAGTAGTATGGGGACTGGGTTCTGGAAGTGAGAGGATGGGGAAAGCCCAGCCTTAGACAAGAAAGAGGATGAATCTAAAAAGCAAGGGGTAGGGAGAGGAAGGTCTGTGGATAGCTTCTCTGTCACCCTTTCTTGTTCTTTCCTCAGAGAGTTGGGATGCTCTGGAGCAGCAAACTCAGTGGTAAGCATCTTAGAAGAGGTCCCAGTCAGAAAGGCTACATGACCAGCCCTGGCTGCATGTACTTGGGTCCCCATGGGACATGTCCATCCCCTCTGGGTGAACCAGAGTTGAGTGAGGTCAACCAGAGCCTATCCCTAGATGCTCTGAACTTGGATGTGGATAGAGCATGGAGCAGTTCTTTTTGAGGATGGTGTAAGGCTGTTGGTAACTATAGGAAGAAGTGAGAATCTGGAAGGGTTAGTGTTGTGGGTCCTGGGACCTAGCTGCACCCCTGCCCTCTCTCTATTGGGTCTTATAAAGTTAGTTCAGTGCTTTTCTTTTTCCTTTTTCAAAGCAAATTTTGTTTTTTTTTTTTTTTGGCTTTTCGAGACAGGGTTTCCCTGTATTGTTTTGGAGGCTGTCCTGGAACTTGCTCTGTACACCAGGCTGGCCTAGAACTCACAGAGATCTGCCTGCCTCTGCCTCCTGAGTGCTGGGATTAAATTCTCTTTGGGTAGTTTTCTGTCACTGAGATAAAATGTCTTGTCTAATCTTGAGTCATGGGAGTTGCTCAATAGTTATTCCCAGGCTCACCTCTTGCTTCCCACATCCATGGTAGGAAGATACTTCTCCCTTTCCCTCGTCATTTGGCTCAGGACAGACAGGATCCAGACAGAAGTGCAATACACAAGTTTGGAACTCTGGCTGTCACTGAAAGAATGGCTCTGATAATATTATTAATACTATAAATACTATTAGTGAAGCATTTTGTATTTAAGAAATGTAAAATCTCTCTTCGTGTTTTGAGATCAGGATCAATGGCTCAGTTTGTCTACTGTGATGAAAACACTTGCTGAACAAAGTCCAACTGGAACACTGTGAACAAAAGCATGCACATGTCTCAATGAGATCAGTAATCCATTTCTGTCTTTGAGATAATGTTTCATTCATGTTGAGAAATGATTTTCATTCCTTCTTCATTTAGTTTATGAATGTTTGGATAAGCCTTTAATTTTTAACAAACTCAGTTTTGGGAATAATTTTAGATTTATAGAGAAATCATGAAAACAGTGGCACTCCTGGATACCCCTCACACAGTCTCCCACACTGTCACAAGCAGCAGAGAAAGCCCGAGCTTGGCTCGTCTCTACTGTATGTTCATAGGGTCCCATCTAGGAGAACAAATTAGATTTTAGTCAAATTACATTTGGTTGTCCCATATCCTTGGATTCCTCTGGTTTATCACAGCTAAAAACTTTGTTTTTCTTAGGGCTATCTACTAATAATTTATATGAGCATGAAGCTTGTTTGATATTTGCTCCACAAATTTATACTTCTGCTTGATCTTTTAATGTTTAACATTTAAAAAACAAATTACATTAATTTCTTTTACAAATGTTAATGTTGTGAAATCTGAAGAATTACAATGGCAATATCAGTATTTCAGGATTATTTTTAATAGATGTTATGTTGTATGCTCAGTGTCTCGATTTGCTCCAGGAAAGTAGTCACTGGATCCTAGGGGTGTGGTATGGTGTGGAGACTCCATACAGTTCGAGATGGTTGAAGTTTCAGGTGCCCAGCAAAACTACCTAGAACCAGAAGTATGCAGCAGAGGCTAGCCAGCTCACGCTAGCTTCTCTGAAGTAGGAAGCCCAGGTCCAAGCTATCTTAAAGCGACCCAAAATCACACCCTTTTTTCCATTAAGACCCCAGTTGCATTCTGGTTTTCTCTGTATAAAGAATGGCTGGCTGCCTGGCCTGAGCTGTTCCCTGTGTTCGGTACAGCCAGTGCCCTGTCACTGATTGAACTCCAGAGACTTTATATAAGAGGAGTCTTTGTTTTCCTAGCATTTGCTCATTTCTTGGACCACAGCAAGCTTAAATGAAGGACGATGACACCACTAGCAGAACAAAGCTAACCCTTCCCAGAGCTGGTGAGAGCTAGGGACCCAGGCAGGCGAGGGGCGGAATGTGAGCAGAGCCTCCGTCTCACAGTGCAGAGCAGATCAGGGTGGAAAGGAAAAAAAATCACTGGGTGGCAGGGCCAGCAAGAGCAGCCTGACTCAGGGCTCTTAGCGCCACGGAAGGAGATTCCTACCTCTAGGTCCAATATCAGCACCCAAAACTATAATTAAGAGTTTACTCACAAGTACACAGCACCATAAAAGAGTGAGGTCTGTGTGACCTTTAACTAGATTACAATTCATTGATTTGCCGAGCATTGCCAAAAGCATAGTCCACAAGCATCCGGCTTCACTTTGCCTGTCCATAGTTCATGGCGTACTCAAAGTCTCTGAAGCTGACGTGACCGTCTGAGTCTTGATCTGCTTCCCTGGAAAATGACACGGAAAGTTATTCACACATTATTCCTGTCAGCACCTCCATGTCAAGAGCACACTGGAATCTTCCCTTCTCCGCATGTCAGCACGAGGGAGGAACCAATCCTATCTAAAGACCAAGGTTGGTGCCTACACTGCTAACTCATAAAGTATGGAGGCAAGAAGGGTATTTATTAAAACCTACAGAAACACACATGGAATGTACTTGAGGGATGGACCTAAATGCATAAGCTATGCAAGAAAGGGAGGGATAAGGGGCCGGGGCTGTAGCTGCTGACAGTGCTAGACTAGCATGTGTGAAACCCCGAGTTAAACCCTAGCACTGCATAAAACTGGGAGTAGTGGTGCACACATATAATCCCAGCACCAGGGAGGTGGGGGCAGGAGGATCAGAAGATGAAGGTCATCCTCATCTACATAGTGAGTTTGAGGCTAGCCTGGGCTACATGAGAACCTGTGTCAAACAAAAGTAGGAATAATTATTTTTCTATGTATTGATCTCATACATGTTATGTTTATATACATAATATACATATATACACATACATAGTTGCATCATATAACGAAATGTGAGATTAAATACACAGGAGGAAATGTTTTATTTAGCAGCCAACAGTGATGGCAACAAAGTCTGATGTCCTACACACCACTGTCTTTACACCCCAAGACTGTAGAATTCTAGCACCAATTCTGGGTTTGAACCAGTTTATATACAGACCTACTGAGCCTTAAGGAGACCTAAAACTTCTCTAAGGATCACACTGCTGGAGAGCAGCTAAAATCCAACTCAAATAAGGGCTGTGAAACTCTAAAGTCAGGGCTCCATGGACTCTTGCCATTGTCACCCTATATAACCAAGACACCACCCAGGGAGAGGTTCCTGCACGGCTAATCATACTTTCCTGGTTCCTCCCTGGCTTCACTCATATCCTTGGAATCACTGTGAAATCCTCACAATACACATACTAAGCTTTTTTAATTCCTGTAAAGAGTGGTTGGTGGAGATGTGAGCCCTTGACTAAGGGTGTGAGAAGCCTCTGAGGGGGTGTCCTTGGAACCTCTGAGACATGGCTCTGTTCCCTGTCAGGCAGCAGAGAATGGCACACATTCTATGTGGTTAAGATTAGGTGCACCCAAAGCACAAAACATGGCCATCAACAACTCAACGGCTCTGCCACCAGGAAAGGAGCTATTAAATAGCGTGTCTGAAAGGCTAACACAGGAGCACCGTCCCAGTTCCTCTTTGGGGACATCCTAGACAATGCAGGGCATGCCGTTTTCCGATGCAAGTGACGTTCTGCAGAAAACAATGGTAGCAAGCATGACACAGGGCTTTCAAAAGCAAAGACTGGCCTAAGCAAGAAGCCACCAATCACTGTAATAGTTTTAAAGCAGGCTTTTAAAATATTGAATTCTAAAATAAACTTTCTGAATATTTCATGCCAAAGTCTCTGAAGTCTATAATGGTTCTGGATAGAGTGATAATAGTTTTTCTTTCTTTTGAAGTAGAGGAAAAAAAACCTACTTCTCCGCCCCAGGGCAAAAACCATGTTGCAGTGTGTTGGGATAAAATGACTGTGTACCGTGGAGGCTATTCTTCTCGTTCTATCTCTTGGTGAAATATACATCGTGATTTCATGTTATCCAGCATGCAGAGCACAATGACAGGTCTCTTCTAAGGGATTTAAAACAATCACAGGGTCGCACATCACTGACTACTGGATATTAACCATCCCTTCGATAAAATGAGATAATTGAAGATTCCTCATAATGCCTATGTATTTGGTTAGATGAGCAGCCTTCTCTCCCTTTCCATTCTGAATTGGTATGTCAGAAGTATAAATCTTACAGGGCGAATAACATAGGAGAGTACTATTAGGATAAACTGCTTCTGGTGATATTTTGAGTGTGTTTTCACTCACTTAATGGGACACTAGAAGACTGCAGAAAAGTGACTCCCTCTGCCCAGTTTTTTCTGTAAGCAACCTGTTGCTATTGTATTAACATTTGATTATTCTTGTTGTCTTTGCTACAGCTTTCCACTGGAAGGTGGGCACATTGTCACCAAGAATGTGAAAGGGGAAAGTCCATCAATGTGGCTTAGAGAGGGCATTGTATTCCCATACCAAATGGAGAGATATCTGATATATCCTGTGCATGTTTAGAGTGAGATGTGGAACAATATCTGATTGTTTCACACGTATGAACAGGTCTGGTCCTTTTGACTTGAGCAAAGAGGAATTTGAGGTTTAAGAGCTAAAAGTTTAAAAGCTATGACATACAGGTTTTATTACCAACACAAGCATTCTGTGGAAGACCGGGACCCACACTCAATCACAGTGTGATAGGAACAGATGGGTGGGTGGGAAGGGCTGGAGACGTGGAGAGGGGAGGACTGCCTTTAAGCAGAAGGAAGGAATATCACCTCTGTTTACAGCAAAGTCTTTGACCCTGGTTCTGAAACCGGAACACATTGCTTAGTGTCCCCTGCTAATGTTCAGCACCAAAATATCTCATCTCCTCTCAGCGCGACTAGGAATAATCTCCAAGAGTGCAAGGACTTCTGCCCACAGCTGTCTCCAGCTCTTAGCTCACAGCAGGCAATGACCGTGTGCTGCATAAATAAATCTGTGGAAGAAATGGAGCTGGGGGAACCGGTGACAATATTATGGACAAAGTATTACCTCCCAGGAGGTGTTGTGATTGAATGAAGAGACTGTCTTACCACCGTCAACAGTCGGGAAAGCAGCCAGGGAAATAAAACACGGGGAAGAAGCCACCTCCAAATACCACCCAGAGATTCATGACAAGTCCACTATGGGCTGTGTGCTCAGCTGCATTCGGCAAACACAGAGTAAGCATGGAACCAGCCACAGGAGAGATGGGCTTTGGACAGCGAGGCTGAGCGTGGTGATTGTGACAGCAATGTAAACTGGAGAGGGCAATTCCATCCTCAGAAAAAACCACCCTGAGGAATCCCCTGTGTGGCACAAGGCTGATTCAGCTTCAGCCAAGGAACCATAAACAGTTCCAAGGAACACCCAAACTGTGCCCACTCCGGACAAAGTGACTCTATTCGGGTGGTCAGACAATGGCCAGTTTTGGTAAATAACATCTTCTCGTCACAACTGTCCTTGGGGGCAACCATAGGTTACAATTTTGAAATTCCCCTAGCTCCCACATCAATGAATTCAAAGGTCACCTACTCTTCCCCAGTCCTGAACAGCCAAGGCATGTACCACCCTGCTTGCAGTTTTTTCCTTTATAAATCCCTTAAAACTGAGGCCAGGCGCCCTTTCCTGCAGCTGCTGTGCCGGTTTGCTAGACAGGGTCCTGGCCGAGGCTTGTGACTTAACATTAAACCTTATGTGTCTGCATCAGTGAGTCGGCTTCTTGGTGGTCTTTTTTGGGGTCTCACAAACTTGGCATAACAGTGATGGACAAAGGAATCCCTTGACTGTCAGGCAGGATGGGTAGATGCATCCAATCCAAGGCCCATCCATGTGCAGCCAAGGGCGACTGTGAATATGGTTCAACATAAAATCATAAGACTTACTTAAAACATTATTAGAGAGAGAAAGAGAGAGACGGACACATACACAGAGGGGTAGAAGGAGAAATAGAGACTGTGTGTGTGTGTGTGTGTGTGTGTGTGTGTGTGTGTGTGTGTGTGTGTGACTTGATTATGTGGGGCTCAAGGATGACCTTCATAGACGACAATGCTATATCACCATATCAAAAGGTTGGACATGCATGAGTCTACTTTCCCATGGTGGAACCAGTGAGGAAGCTGCTCTCTGATGGTTTGATACACAGGTAGAGATCTGGCTTAGAATGGTTGTTGAAAGGAATCGAGCTTATAGAGATGCATGGGAGGAAAATAAATTGCTATTAACAGTAACAAATGCTTTCTAAGAATGCAAGTCCAATGACATTAAAGGCCATTTGATTTGTTTTGAAGATGCATAATAGAGACATGGCTGGAATTGCTTTTGGCAGTAGGGACTCCAGAGAGCTGCCTGCTCTGTATGTATGACTCCCCATGAACAAACTGAGGAGCTTTCGGGAGGAAAATATGAGAAGAAAAGAGGTTCAGGAAGGGGGCACACCATACACTCCAGTGAACTGATACATTCACAAGGAGACAGCATCCAAGGTGCTCAGTATAACCTCTTCCTGATCTCCACTCAGGGTTGTGATGGATACACATGCTATGAGGAGCTTGACGGTGTGTGCCTGCAGTCAGGGGCCGAGAGGACCAAGGAGAGAGCTGTCTGAGAGGAAGTAGGGAGGAGGAAGGCACATGGGGAGTGGTAGTGTGGTCCATCAACTGAAGTGAGTCCCAGAGGAGAGGGCTGAGGGCCAGATGCTCTCTGGAAATACGCAGGAGTCTTGAAAAGTGTTTAGGTTCCTACAGGATGGGGTGGGTTCTAGAAATCCTCTCTGGACTCCAGACTGCAGGAAGACCTTCAATGACCGTGTGCAATGAGACTTTACAGGACTGGATAGACCACCCTGCTCAACACCAATGTTTTCACTCCTCTAAAACAAACATTCTTCCATCCACTGTATTACAGTAAGAAGTGCTTTACTGTTACTTTCATGAACATTAGAATGGATGCTTTTTTTCTACCGTGCATCCTAATCAATTTATCAGAGCTGTCTCCTGGTGATGCTGTGTGGACTTTGGTAGCCAGAGTAGATACTTCCCTAACCAGAGATTATGAGATCTGAGCATCAGGGAGCCAGGGTGATCTCTCACAGGCCACAGCATTGCCTACTGATTTCTGAGGGGAAACTAAGGTTATTTGTGTGTGTTCATACACATGTGAGTGTACACATACATGTAGGTGCCTGTGGAGTCCAGAGGATGAGCCTTGGGTGTTGTTTCTCGGGTTCTGGTCAACTTTATATTTGAAGCACGGCATCTCACTGACCTGGAAAGTGACACCTGGGTTAGGCTAACTAATAAAGAAGCTGGGATCTACTCTTC